CTTTACATAAACATTCATAAAGATCAGTTAATGTGTACCTGACAGATCAGTTATGGATACTTCTTTGTTAATCAGGACCCTATTTGGTATTTTTAAAGTAAGCAATAGTGATTGTGGAATTTATTAGTGGATACATGAAGTAGTTTTCTCTTTACAATGATAAAAAAGCACTTGGAGGGTGCAAACATCTGCCAGGCACCAAACTTACTTACAGTACACCTATAGCTAAAACTCGCACATGATCTGAATATTTACCAATTTTAAAAGAATTGTTCCTTAGCATTAGACACACTTTTTGTAATAAACAATTCCATAAAATCTGTCCTTAAGTCAGTCTTAATATTTTGTCTTCAGAAAAATGCCTCTGAACTTTTTGAGTCTGATGCTGTGGCTCTCAACAGTTACTGCTGCCACTAGTGATGTTAGGAGATGAGCCGAGGCTTCGAGGCGTGTGTCGAGTAACGGAGGGGGCATTTCCCTGAAGCGCGTCTCAAGGGGCGATTCATTTAGGGGAGGGACCAAAATTGATGACGTTTGAAGCCTCTCTACCATGATAACCTGGACTGCTTCAGGAAGTGGTTCAGACCAAACAAGAACTTCAACAGGCATTTAAACAGACTCACTACTCAGTCAAGATGTGGGAGTTTCTAGGGGAGTTTCTGTCAGTTGCAAAAAGTATGGATATATTCTAAGAATAGATTGGTTGGAAAAACCACCAATCTAGTTGGTTAAAACTATTTTGATTAGATTAAACCTTATAATAATATTTACATTTGTAACATTAGTGTTAAGTAGTATTGCTTTCCACTATGCAGTTACTATTGCTAGTGGCAATTTTGTGAAGCACTTTGTGACCTCTATGTCTGCGAAAGGTGCTATATTAATAAACATTACTTACTTATTTGCCTATGTAGTATTTTGGCTTATGTACTTTGTATAGGTTTGCCCTTGTACAAATATAGATTGGCTAAAAACACTGCCAAGTTAGATTGGTTGGTTTAGCCAAAAGTTTGGATGAACACATAACTTCAACCCGATTAAAACCAAAAACTGTGGAAAAACTATGTTTGAATAAAAAATGAACCTTTTGTTTTGCTCATCAATACCCGATTTGCAAAAAAAAAAATTCTTGAGCTTATTTCACTAAAGTGGCAGAAAAACAGTGTGAATTTATCACACCTTGTTACATTTAAACAGTGATCTATGGCACGTTTCGCCCTGCTGGTTATTAGGGAGACCATTGTTATGGTGAAAAAAAATATTTAAATATTTGGCAGATTTCGATTTGAATTTAAGCTGCTTATTAATCTTTTTCTATTCGTGCCATATGTACGCTGGCTCAGCAGTGCCAGCAATCCAATATATTAGATCTACAATTAAAGTTTCATACAGTATGAAAGTAAATCAAATGTCCGAAAGGAATTATGATGCAATCTGCCTTCAGTCCCCCACCACAGTCAGTATCTCCAAAATGCGTGTTCCCCATACGGAGGGGTCAGAGTTGATGGGAAGAACCATGCATTTTATCACCAAGTTTGTACTGTAAGTCAACATACGTAATTTTCAGGCCCCATGTTATGCGTACACAAGCTTTATATACGACCCCTGCAGGTAAATATGCTGGTCATCTCAGCCAGCTGGCCTAAAATTGAATGTACCCACCGTGGAGCATTATGGATAAAATTTAAAGGACCATTGTTGATTTCTTCTAGTCAGGGCAGGACTGGCTGAGAACTGCTGCTCTATATCTGCCATTGGATGAGGGACTCATTGACATCTCTGCATGAGTAACAGCTTTCAGGCTACAAATGGCTCACAGGCTGCTTCTCCAGTTTCAGACTGCCTTGGTTGGACACTACATATGTGCTTCTGAGGAAAGCCGGTCACCTTGGCTATGATAAACACCTTTTCTTGCTTCACTTGCAAGATTTAGATGTGACTGGAATAACATTCCTTTCTGGTCTGCTATGAATGCACAAAAGGTTTTTGAAAAGAAATACAGGTGCTACACCATTAATGTGGCTGTTTAAGAAGCATATAATTAGTTTATTGTCACCTCGAATCCTTTGTTGTGTTGACATGGAACCTAAGCTGAAGGAGGCTGGCTGTGTAAAACATGCCCTCATGAAGACCTCTTATGCGCGGCTCAATGAACTGTTAAACATAGTCTCAAAAAATGTTCCTCAAATTGAATAAGGATATTTGTGCCTCACACCCTGATCTATCTGTGCAATTGCCCGAGTTTGTTTCCTTCCTTGATTTTTTCTCCTAATTATAATTTGTGGCACAGTAAAGGGAAGCTTTATTGTCTCTTTGAACCCCTGTTTCAGGAACAAAAAGAAAATACTTTTTATTATTTAAGCATGGAGGTTTGTTGACGCCAGCGCATCCCTAAGAGGCAATGGCTACGAACTGTTATTTGGCATACTTCAATCCCGGTACTGAGAAGAACTGTGCTTCATGCTTTTAGGAGGAAACACTACAACATCTGTTTATTAAATGTTTTGCTTAACAAATCTTTTAAAATGTTAAGTAAACTTTTCCAGAGGTCTGTAATTCATATTTCCTTTCTATTGTGTTAAACATAGATCAGTACTTTTGTTTTTTTAGGATGTTAAAATCTGCAGTAAGGAAAATAATAAGAAAAAATATAATTCTTGGAAATTATTTGTTGGATAGTTTCTGATAAAAAAAACAAAAAAACAACTAAATATTTAACAATTACATAACCAACAAACATTTACAGATTTTGTAAATATTTGGGCTTTAAAAGATGTTTTTCTGTCAATGCTGAGTCTTTTTATGCTTCTTTTTAAAGGTCTCTACGGGTCTCGAAACCAGCCTTGGTCTGACAAAGATGAGAAAAATTGATTTATTTTCACTGTTTCTAAAACAGTAGCTTTTGCGCAATGTGAACCAACTAATTAAGTTTAGATAATGTGTATCTCTGAGTTCTTGTATTTATTAACTTTGATTTCAGTTCATTATGACAATTATTCGTTTAATAGAAATAAGTAATTTTGATTGATTAAATAACCACTATTCCATTAATTTTAGCATTTTGTGATGTACAAAAATCTGGTCCTGAATTATTGTCAAATCTAAACTTTCAGCCTCAGTCTTGTTCTGGGAAGGTCTGGTCTCGATCTTGGTCTCAGAAGAATCGGTCTTGGGCTTTGAATGTATAATGTTGCTTCAGATATGCCATTAAATATCATTTTGAAATACTTTCATTCAGGAAATACAAGGTATTTCACACAGATAGAGCATTTGTGATAGAGTCTTAACTCTGACTTTCTTCTATGTATTTTTCAGCAGTTTGAGGATAAATAAAATATGTACAAGTAGCATTTTAACATCATTTTCAGGATTCACCATCCCAAGAGCAGCTATGTGAGATAGAATGTAAAAGCAACTAGAAATCCCTTTACAGAGTACTCAAAGAAAAACAGCGACAGCATAATTTTTGGTTTTCTGAAACACAACTGAATAATACAGAGCATGGCAAGTGTCAGTGGGTTGATAAAAAAAAACACACACACAAAAAAAAGCCACTGGAAATCTGTGCTTATGCTTTACTAAATGATATCCTCTCCATTTTGGAATCCTATGCTCACATATTATTTACATCTGTAAATATTTCGGTTGTGTTGCTGACACGGGCTATAAATTTAGTGGATATTTTGCTATATAAAACTTAAAGCAGTTTTAATTAACACAGTTGACAGCTTCAATTTTATTTTATTTACATTATACTGACATAAAAAAGTGACAGATGTCACTGGGTAAACCAAATGCACAGATTGCAAAACTGAGTCTGCAGTTTCATAAAGCGTTTGCATTGATATTTCCACCAGTTTCATTTTTATTAGCCTATGACGCTTGTCATTTTATAAAAAATGTTTAAAACTTTTTTTTATAGGGCTGCACTTTTGTTTTATACTTGTGTAATCAAAATTACAAATAAAATCTGTCTAAGTCTAAGTTGTCGTGCTCCATAGGATAACAATGCCTGGTATTGCTTTGATTCAGGGTAAATACTAAACACAGAAATTTTACAGTTACACTGCACCATTATGACGTACCGCACCTTGCAAAATGTCATCAAAGAGCATTAAACAGGTTTAAAAATATTTCCAGGGTATCACTCATAGCATTATGCAGCTCTCTAGAGCAATGTTTCCCAACCAGGGTACGGATACCCCTAGTGGTCTGCAAGTGCATTGCAAGGGGTTCTTTAAAATATAGTAAGTTTTTCTTATATGTTTGAGTTAATCTTGAGCTTTGACAGAAATCCAAACCAAACAGCCTGGTATCAGCTGTTTTTCACATGGAGCTATCAAAGCAGCTCAGGTGTCTTATTGAAAACACAATAAATCTATTTAAGTCAGTCTGACTTAAATTTTTGTTCTATATTTTTTTACAAATTCCTCAAGTTTAAATATGATTATGAGGTAGTCACTGGTCTTATAAAGGCAGATTTATGAGTCTGAGTTTTTTTGTAATTATTTCTATTCTTTACTGACTTCCAGGCAACATATTAATGTTGTTCTTTATGTGAGATGGAAAGCATAAACTCATAAGAATTAAATGCTCAAATTAAAAGATTAAGTAAAATAGTCTTTATAGTCAGTTATTGCACATTCCACTTTGGGACAATGATCAATACTTTTGGCTGAGGGAATGCAAAAAAATGCCTAAAGGGGTACAGAAGTACAGAAACAGAAACACTGCTCTAGAGGACACACCTCTTCCTTTCTGCTCATTCCTTAAGCAGGTCCCTCATGATGACATTTTGACTTACTGCAAAATTCTTTTTGAGTTCCGAGAATGAGCCACCACCATGCCTAACTTTAGACTGCTGTAGGTTTTCCAAGTTTTTTATGATGCAGTTAGATTTTACTGCTTAGTACCAACCAAAAAGCAAAACCTTTTCCCTGACAAAATTAGTCTACAGAAAAACATGTTGAATAATGGGTATTTTCTCTCTGTCTTTATAGATTGGCAAGTCCTTCATATGAAGTAATGCAGCTGGAATTTGAGGTTGATAACGTGATTAATCTGGTGCCAACCCAGACTCTACACTGGACTGTGGAATACCCCGCTAACACACAGACAGCTTCGAAGCAAACAGAGAAAGTCTCCCACCTGTACATTAGCAATGCTGACATCCAGGGCATTGTTCCTCTGGCAGAGGTAAGTTAACCACCCCACCCCCCCAATGAGAACATATGCAGATCTATGATCACAGCTGCACATTTTTTTTCATGCCTGCATATATTCCATTTATCATCTCTTTCTCACTCTTCCTTCTAACCTTTGTGTTGACAACTCTAGTCTGTAGCATTTCCTCATGGTAACCACAGATTAAAGGTCACTTTGTTTACATCCTCCTCTTTTTGCTCAAAGACTCTCTCATGCAACAGGTTTCAGACCGTGCAGGGTTTTGAAATAAACTGTAGTTATAAAAACACACAAACTTTTACTCTACGGAAGCCGAGAATTGTCATTTCCCTCTGATACTTTTTTTTTTTTTTACGGTGGTTTTCTCAAGAAAACAAGTTAATTTTCTCATTATCTACAGATAATATAAGCCGTTTTCACGTGATAAGAAGATTATTAGTGTGCGTTAAAACTGACTACATCCTTCAATACAACAGCTGGAGAGATTAACAAGTATAAGTCATGACAGTCTGTGTGTAATAATGTAAATAATCCTTTGTTTAACCTTTAGGTAATGAGACGACATTGTTGGTTTGCTTCCACTTCTGATTCATAAGCAATTAGACCTATGCCTTAAGTCCGGTATTCTGTCACCGAGTGTTTTCTAAATGGCTCCGGTTTTATGCCTCTAACAGGTAGAAGATGCATTCACCCCAAAATGAGTCCAGATTAAATTTTCACCACAGGCATGGATGGACTGGGAATCCTTGGCTGTTGGCCAGCCTTATTCATTTCTCATACAGGTTAATCTTCTCGTTATCTCGAGAAAACATTACCAGTTTTCTTATGATAACTAGATAATAATCTTGTTATTTGAGAAAGCAATTAATGGTTTAACCATGATGACGAGATGATTAACATAGTTGACGGAGACCTTTTTTTTTTAAGTTGTCTGCCCATTTAATTAAAAAATGTAATAACAGTCCAAATTTTTAAACTGTGTCGAACGAAATGTCTGGGTGAATGTAGAAGCTAAGATAAGTGTAAGGTTGTGAAAATATGCCTATTGTAACCGTTTGAATCAACTGAAATCTGTTGGATTATAGAGTTTTATCTACAAGCTTGTTTAAACTCCCCAAGCCTTATTTGAAAAATACAATCTTTACTTTTATTGATTTATTTTCATGGGCGATATGTCTTCATTTTTATATAAATTTTTCTGTATGAAAAATTATTCATAAACTCCATTTTATTTGCAGTTCAATGCAATATACTCTGTTAAACATATTATTGCTTGAGACATCTTTATTATGTATTACTTTCTATCAGGTTCAATCAGGTATTCGACAAACTCAAATCAAACTATAAGCAAACTGAAGTCTAAAGGCTAAATTTAGATAGAAGGTTTTTTCAAAATGCTCATAGTTCCATTACCACCAAGGTAGGGCTAATCTTGTCTGATAGCCCTCCCTCAAACAGCAAAGCCCCAGTGACAAAATCCAATTTTGCCTGGGGTTGCCTCTTATTTTTCTCTTTTTGCTCTCTGAAACTAGCAGATAGGAAACCATCATTACAAAATGAAACAGCAGAAATTACTCATAAAATATCTTTACACCAATAATGTAATGACTAATTATACAAACGTAAAAAAATATATATATACATATATATTATGGAAAACTAGCAGCATGATAGCTAAATTCTTATAATTTGATGGTTAATGGATAAGCAATTGGTCTTTTTTTTCAAAAGTAGACTGAAAGGCAAGAAGTATTTGTATAATTGTACCTGAGAGCCATGGGCTGCCATCGTGGGGCGCCCGGGGAGCAGTGTGGGGTTAAGGTTCTTGCTCAGAGAGCCAGAGCGGCAATCAGTGGGAGTGGGGCTCGAACTCAGAACCTCAGGATTCCAAGCTCTATGTCAGGCATCCCCAAACTCGGTCCTCGGGGGCCGCCGTCCTGCAGGTTTTAGAGGTTTCCCTGCTTTAGCACAGCTGATTTTCATTATTGCAGTAGAGCTGAAGCCTGTTAATCAGCTTTCAATTAAAATCAGCTGTGCTGGAGCAAGGAAACCTCTAAAACCTGCAGGACAGCGGCCCTCGAGGACCGAGTTTGGGGATGCCTGCTCTATGTCTTAACCACTAGGCCACCACTCAAACATATTGCATGCTTTAGTTGCAAGATAGTTTAAGATGCTGTAAATAATGAGAAAAAACACAGGGAAAGGTATGTAGGAAGATATACTGATAATAAAATGAAAAGAAGTTGATGCAACAGCATAAACCAATGATTTTTAGATAGCACCTGCAAAGGCCACACTTATTAAATAGTTTTTAATCTGCATTTAAAGTAACTGATGATTTCAACACATATACAGTTTTCTGGGAGTTTTTTCTCCATTAGCAGAGCATAAAAACTAGATTTTTGGTTCTGGTTGGCTTTTTTTTATGAAACAGCTGACTAACACGACTATACAACCAACTTCACATTATTAGATAATGCTTTGTCACTGTTAACAAGGGATCTCTGACAAAACCTCAAATTGCCCCCTGGTTCTGATGGAGGAGAATGATGGCTCGGCTCATTTCTTAAGCTACTTATCGTCCAAACAAACCCATTTACCTGTGATTTTAAATTGCTTAATGAGTGGAAATGCCACAATTGCAAAAGTTATCATGGAAAGACATGAAATGCTGTTTAGACAAACTGTAAGATGCCAGAGTATTTGTTCCATATGCACTTGGATAAAGACAAATATTTTTCATCACCATGAGCAATTTTGTGTGCTTTTTAACACAACTACTAAAGCAACCAAAGGGTGAGAACTACGATTTTCCCAAACAAAGGCTGGTCAGACACCTTTAAGCTTCTGGTAGAAACCAAACATTCATAACAAAATTACAGGATCACCCATGAAAATGGCATTTAGTAGGTCCACCTTAAAAAGACTGTTTAAGATTACGAAAACAAATTTCAAATTTTTTCAAATAACAAATTCCTTCTAAGGCACATTGTATTCAGTTCTTGTATAATAGTTGAAATTATAGTAGTGAAGTACTAATTTGAATTACATATACTACTTTAATTTGATTAATAAAATATAGTCCAACCAACTTTGTTCAGAATTGAATTAATTAGTAAAGAGTCCATCTATGTACAAATCTATCTTATAAATACGCATTTACCTGAATGCCTTCAAGTTATTGTGATAGAACACATTCAATCATGACACCAAAAGAAAGGTCAGGGATAGAGGTGGGAAGAAGATGAAAGCACAGTTAGGTTCTAAAATAATATTCCACGCTTTTAACATCTCATGGAGAATGGTTTGATTGTGAGGCAGTAAACAGATGATGGCACAATTTGAAACATTATGCTGTGGTCAGCTGACAAATGCTGTTTGCCAAAAGCTGTTTACCAAATTGCCCTCATTAGAGAAAAATACAGTAAGTGCTAATTTTCAGTACTTCGAACACAATAAAAGATGGCTTTCCTTGTAAATTTGTAGGCCAGGCAAGGAGAGCATCAATCAGAAAAGCAGCTCAGAGGCCAATGGTAACTCTTGAGATATTGCAGAGATCTACAGCTTAGGTGGGACGATCGATCAAGCAGGAAAACTATTAGTTGTGCACCTCACAAATCTGACCTTTTGGCAAAAAGAACCAATGTATGGGATAGCTTAAAAGTCCTTTTTAAAATTTGCAACGATCCATGTTGGGAGCATGACCTGTAAAAGAGACAATGCTTTGGTAAAACAACAAAGAACTACATAGAAAACGTTACTGGTCATGCAAAGCTACCACTACCACCACCTTTAATTAAGGTGTTGGCAGAATTATGGTGTAGAGAGATTTCTTTTGTGAAGCAATGAAATGTTTTTAATATTCTTAATGATACAAAGCTGTAACTGCTCTGAAAACATCATAATATCTCATTGGAGCTGAATATAAATACACCCCATACCTTTCAGGTTAGTAAGATACTGTGAAAATAGTAGCACTTAGATCTGAACATATCAATATGACCAAAGAAGAACTAGATGTTTCTCATTAATATTTTAGCTAATTTATTTAAAATCCATAATTTGCTATATTCACTGGAAAACATAACACCAATAATGCAAATATGGCTTTAAAATTAGGCTGATAAAAACTTCCATGCAGACCATTACTACAGTCTTAAAAAAACGTAAAGACTGTTTCTCCTTCAACATAAATATAAGAAGAGTCGCACCTATCTTTGTATACAAATATCTACACATCCAATTTTACTTCCTCTCCCTTCATCTATCTCTTGCCTTTCCCCTTCGGTAAAAGCATCAAAATGGCTGTTATTATGAGCCATTTGGGCTTCCTGATTTGTTTACCTGAGCTGCCTGACCAGGTGTTTATTATTGGTTGGTTGTTTAAGGTGTCTGTCACTGAGAGGGGTCATTTGATAGGTCGCCTAGATGAAAGCTTCATTTTTCTCTAGGTCTTTGGGAGGAGGAAGAGTGAAGGAATAGAATTAAGAGCTAGAGGTGTAACTTCAAAGCGAGTTAGATGTGAAAGCTTTCAAACAGTTTTACATCTCTCAGTTTAGCCAATTTCACATCAGAGGATTACAATTTGGGAAACATCTGAAATACAGCTATAGTAAAGTATGAAATATTGCTCACAGCTGTTTAAAGTACCTGAATGCTTTGCGTCACACATAATTGCATCAGAGACTTTGTATTCTGGCTTTGAAAGATTATTTGTTCTTCAGCTGTTTATGTGCTTTAAATACATATCAGTTGTCAACGACCACCTCACATGTCAGAGTCAGCTTATCAAGAGGGCTGATGTATTAGAGGGGCTTTCTCTTTTTTTTTTTAAGCAAATATGAGAATCAGAATTCTGTCTGTCATCACTGATCCATCGGCAACATTTTCCTCCTAATTCCATATATCCATTAAGGCTCTGGTCTCTTGGCGGAGCCCGGACGAAAGAATCCCTCTCCAAGAAACGAGGGATTATTAGGAGTAATTTGTCTCCTGTGGGGCCTAAAAAATTG